ATATATATATATATATATATATAAAGAATTACCAAGGCAATTAAACGAGCCTTAGTCATCCCTAAGTATGCTAAATAATCGAGCACCATACCCTACACATGGGGTTGTTTGAACATGTGACCAGGGTACTTCGACCTTCAGAATGACCTAAGGGGTTGTTTAAACGCGCGCACTCACACACAAATATATATATATATATAGTTTGGTTTTAAGTATGGATTGAAGATAATGTATTATTGAAGATAATGTATTTTAAAATATATAAGATATTATTATCGGTGGGTGACGAGAAACATCCAGCTGCAGTGATCGGCAATTGACATCAACGAAGACAGCTTCAAGAGTGGATGGTGGATGATAGTGGCCAGAGGCAGAAAGTAGGTGACAATAGCGGGGCGGGTGACAACGACGGCAGGCAGCCACAACGAATGAGGCCACAGGCCACCGACAACGCCAGCAGCGGGCTGCATGCAAGGGGTGACTTGCCGATAGTATTTTACATTACTATCAAATGAATTCTAATTATACACTACATTGACTTTTCTTACAACCAAACAGCAATTTTTTCAGAACTCTGCAAAAATAATGCAACGTACTCTTTCTACTGCTCATCAAAAAGCCCCTAAGCAATTTTTTCAGAACTCTGCAAAAATATGCAATGTCATATGCCTTTCAGATAATAATTAACATATAACTAAAGAATATTACATAATGATGCATGTAATCAATCACAACTCTACTTTAGAATCCAAAGCCAAAATATAAATCACATTACAGTACAAGAGTTTGGGTCTTCATCACTAAACCACTGTGGAGCATGCGTGCAATGAATGAAATAAGGCGCTCTAACAACATCTGTGCTCTTCGACTCTTCTATCTTCTCACCCACATCTTCTTTAATCTTCTTCACTTCACTCTTCTGCTTCGGCCGAATGATTTCTCCACGTTTGCCCGCCTTCTTGTGTATGTATTTGATCAAGTTTTCTTCTTCTACAATCCCAACAATGGTGCAAGTCTCCTCTCCTCTGTCAATTTTCACTCTATAAACCCCTGCCATTGTAGTTTAGTTAATTAATTACTTTTATAGCTACTTAAAATAAGATTTAATTTTAATTTAATTTAGAGGCAGAGATGGGTTACCTCTAAGTTTCAGCAATTCATTCTCCAAATCAATTGCACATTTCTGACAGGGCAAATGAAGCTTTATGACTGTGGTTTTAGCAACTTCCTGCAAGTAATAGAAAGAAATGAAATAGCAGATATATTTGCTCAAGACTTCCTCATTGAAATAAAATTTTTAATTACCTCCTCTTGTATATTTTCAATCATCGCTTCCTTCTTCAGTACCTTGTGCTCGGGCTTAGGTGATAGCCACTCAACTTTTCTTTTGCTCTTCTTCTCAATTAGTTCATGCATTTTTTTTGCATTAAATACTCCCTTAACCATAACTTTGCCGCTCTCCACATCAATATTAACATTTTGTACTCCTGCACAAAACATGTATGGTTGAACATGAAAGAAATCATAAATGACAAATATCTATATATAAAAGAAAATAAATAGAAATGAAAGTATAAGAAAAATATAACTTCAATAATGTAGATTATAGATACATTATAAGAATCAATAACAAGTATTTCTAATAAATATTTAGCATACTGGTAATATTAATATAGTAACTTAATCATGATGCTACGCAAAGAAGCAGCTAGAGTTTGTAAAGTGAAAAAAATATCATGATGAGGATGTTTTACAAGATTAAATAAATACTAAAATTCATAATAAATTTTAATATGATAAAACTCTAAAAAAAATACTAGGTGGAAGACAAGGTAAAAGTAAACTTTATCATTAAAAAAAAAGAAAATATAATTTGGGAAGTATATCTAGAATAAAAAAGAAGTAATACAATAAAAAGGTTATTAAAGTAAAAATTAAGAGTCCAACATATACCCCATGTCCTATATTTCTTAAAAAAAATGACTCTATATATCTTTGGATCAATTTTCATGAAAATAAGCTAACATTTAATACGATGTATCATTTTGATTTTACAATAAATGAAAACATCTTATAAAACAACGTTACCTTGAACTAATGATCTTACAAAATTCTAAATCAAAAAAGTTACTTTTACCTGATCCTGCCGAGTAAAATTTAAAAACAATCAAACTTGGTATATTTCTATGAATCTTAACATTAACTATTAACCTCTAAAGCAGTAAAAATGTAATCACATACCTTGTGTTCTTATAATTGGTTTCTCAATGGCACGAGCACATCCAATACAGTGTAAGTTGAGCTTATAAACAGCTGTTTTAACATGGTCTTTCTCCTTAACCCTGACATCTTCCTTCTTTTCACTAGCTACCATCGTAACCACAAGCTGAAATTTTAAGGAAATGGAAATTTATAGCTTGTAACTGCAAAGGACAGCTTTTTCTTCACTTTAGTAGGCAAAAAATAGATGCATGGTAAAAATTAAAGAGCATTTACCTACATACCACTCAATTCCTATGAATTTACATATCTAAAATGTAATTTTTGCTTTTTATATTGATACAGCCCAAATCTTTCATATCACATCAAAAATACCATTATTTTATCTTTGAAAAGGTAAAATACAGCTTTTCAAGCATGGGTAAAGTAGTATGTATGTAAGAACTGAAGTTTAGGTGTTAAATATGTAAATACCTAGGAATTAAGTGATATGTATGTAAATCATACAAAATTAAATCAATAATCTACCATATTTGAGTTAATTAGGATATAAGGAAAGCACTGGTGAGATTTGTTGAGGGTGGTTGAGTTGTGATATACATGAAGTACTGCTGGATATATTATTCTCTGAAAGTTGAGGTATTATTTCGACCATTTCTTCTCTAACCTTAGTACTGGTAGAAGAAAAGGTCTTCACGAAACTATTAGCCATATATTTCTCAAAAAACACGGTAAAACAGAAACACCTTTGGTTAGTCCTCATGAAACAATATCTAAAAGAAACATTTTCTCACAAAATTTTATCAAGAGTATTCAAGAACCGCTGACAATTTTATGCTATATAGTAGCGTATTATTTGTAAAATTGCTGCAAATATGCATATTTTTATGAGTTATATTTTAAAAATAGGCGACAGTGACTTGTGTAATAAATATTATAATCATTAAAAAAAATTAGTCACAAATATATATATATATATATACATATTGAGATTTATATCTAATGTAGGGTCTTATTTGTAAATAGATGAAGTATAGGGATTTATTTGTAAATGTTGTAACTTGTTAGACTCAGTATAAGTCCGTCATCAATCAAAAGGAAGTCTTTTTTGAGCAAATATTTTCAATTTGGTATCAAAGCTTCAGCCCTAACCCTAGCAATTGTCCTCGTGCTCGATAGGCTGCGAAAAGTTGCCTGGATGGGATCGAGCGTGAAGGTGCTAGATAGGTCACGTCAAAGTTACCTGGACAGGATGACGCGTGAGGGTCGCGAGGAGTTGGGATCACATGCGAAGGCTTGTGACGGGATCACGTGGTTACACTATAGAAAAAAGCATTAAAAACGACCAAAAAACCGACGGCTTTTTAAACGTCAAAAAAATTGTCTTAATTACCGACAGCCTGATGACTGTTTATGTTATTGATTATTTGCGACGACGTAATCACAACATATGTCGTCGCTTATCAACATTATTCTTTTTTTCTAATAGTTTTAATTATAACTTATGCAATAACCGATCAGTTATAAACAAATATTAACCGACGACTATAGTTTGTCGGTTATCTTCGAACCAGTCAACCGATGCATTTTATTATTATTAAGTGATGGGGGCAGTCGTCTGTAATATTGTTAATAGCCAAAGCAATAAAAGTAGTTTGTAGGACGTTTGTACTAACCTAATATCCCGCCCATAATCACCTCCCTCTCGATCTTGCCCTAATCTCTTCTCCCAACCTCTTGTTTCTCTACTTGAAGCCCTCACCTCACACCAGAAATCTTGCATGTCCCTCTCTATTTTGTCCACGTCCAAACCCGTCGCCTTCGTCCTGGAAACTCTCGCGATACAATTGGAATAGGAGCCAGCTGGGAGCGCAATGGCGGAATCGCGGCTTACAATGACCGGAAAGTTCCATTTTTCTCCTCCTTCTGATTCTATGCTACCAGAAATGACCAAGGAAGGTAACTTGTTATCTTCATTTTTTTTATTTTCATTTGCTTTGGAAAACGCATTTAGAGTTTAGCAAATAGGAGGTTTGTCAAATACTTTCCTATTTCAATCGGGTTACATCAGAGATCGGCTTTAAGCACATATATTTTTGCTTTAGTTATGGATTTTTGCTTTCTATATGGATACTCTTACTAGACATTTACAGGAGGATGCACCTTGATGTATGCTTTTTGCTAGTGATATATAAGAATAGTGAAAGGTTTAGGAAAAACTTAAATTATGGAGGTCAATATTGGAATCTAAAATCTTTCATTTGAGTAGATCTAGAACTAATATCTAGAATACTTAAAATGTAATTTCAGTAATAGTAGCTCTAGTGGCAGAGTTGTAACTACAGGTGATCATATCATTTAAAAGATGTGAATGTTCTAGATATCTCAGGTCTATTGGTCAAAAGTGATGGTGTAATAGATGAGAATGTGATTAATAAGTAGATTTCAAGTTGGTTGATTGAAGTTGAAAATGCACCTGGCCTATCGTGTCATTGAAAATACTGCTTAGACTAAAAAGAAAATTTTATAAGATGATGGTAAGACCTGCAATGTTCTATGACGCAGAATGTTGGCCTTTAGATTAAGGGGTTTCTCGGTTGAAGGAAGATTTAGTTTGAATGGGTTTTAATAAATCCTGTAAATCCAAAATTATCAAAGCTTGAGATACGTGTCAAATCCGGAATACAATTTAGCTCAAAAAACATTAATCAGTTGGAAATTGATTCTAAGTTTGGCTCGCGCATGAAACTTGAGTCGAAATAAATACGCAAAGGCACGAGCGAAAATTTTGGATCAGATTTATTTGAAACCTACATATAAAATTTATTTAGAACCTACATCATCTCGGTTCGAAGTCGGATCATTTAATATTTTAATAATATTAGTTCTATTGAAGTGATCATTAAACGGTCAAACATCAACACGTAATTAATTAAGGCATCTCCCTCTAATAGTATATGTCACTGTAACTATATCAGCCCTCTCACAGATATATTTGTTTCATATTTTATTTCCAAGTGAAAAGCAAATCATAAACTCAAGAAACCTCGTATCCGCAGCTTTTAACTAGATTACTTACATATCTAACAGATTCTGGGAAGAAAATATTTCATATAATGTAAAAGTATCATTTTTTTCTCCAATAGGAAATCTAATTTCCACTTTGACAATGAAAATTTGATTTCTCATTGAATGAAGAAATAAAAACTCTTACATCATATGAAACCTTTCCTTCTCAAAATTTGTTTAGAGATATGAAAATACTCTAGTAAGAGACGTTGAGATGAGAATAGTTTGGTGGATCACCGATTTTATACTTATAGAGAAAATGTGAAAGAAATATACTCGTAAAAAAGTTAGTGTAGCTATAATAACACAAAGATTAAAGAGAAAATTTTGATAAATGATAGCCGATTATCACCTTCAATAACCCTAACAGTCTCAGTAGGTTATTAATATTTTGATTTCGAGCTTAACTGTTGTCGGATCTAACGAAATCCGATTCAAAGTTAAAAACAGTCAATTTTCGAACGGTAATTGTTGTTTCATATTAAGAAAAAGCAATTCTGACGATTTATTTAGACTTCATGATGTCTATTTCCAATATTGTCTGCAGCTGTAGCTACTCCAACCCTACCACGGGCATATTTGTCTCTTATTTTGTTTCCAACTATCAAGCCAATCATAGAACTAAACATACTCGTCGTCGAAGCGTCTTACACGACTGACTGCACACCTGGAAATATGATCTTAGAAAAAAATATTTTATAAGATATAAGAGTTTTTACTGCATCCTCCAGTGCAAAATCTAATTTCCACAGTCATAATGAAAATTAACTTTGAAATCTAATTTGCCTGTCCAAGGTAGAAATTTACATCAAAATCTAAATTACATTGTCGCAATTCCCATTTTGGCAATGCAAATTAGATTTCGAAGTGAATTTCTATTTTGGAACGTTCAACTTAGATTTTGATGTAAGTTTTCATTCTAGCTATGGAAATTAGACTTTGCATTTGAGGATGTAGTGAAAATTCTTGCATTATATAAAATATTTCCTTCTAAGAACATATTTCCAGTTGTGCAGTCAATCACATATGGATTTGCAACAACGAGTATGCTTAGTGTTATGATTGGTTCTTTATTTGAAAAATAAAATATGAAAGTAATAAACTCGTGCAAGGTTTGGTGTAGTTATGGTAACATACAATACTGGAACAGAAAAATAGATCTACTATAAGTCGAATCATTTGACATTTAAGTAATGTTAGTTCCGTCGAAGATCATTATTAGTAGAAAATTGATTCACAATCTATAAAGACAACTCCCTCTAATATTGTAAGTTACTGTGGTCACACTAGCTTTCGCACATATATATTTCTGTCATATTTTGTCTCCGAGTGAAGAGTCAATCATAAACCTAAGCACCATCGTCCCTGCAACTTTTAACTAGATCCCTTTCACACTTTTGAATAAATTCTGATAGGGAAATATCTCATATGATGTAGCTAGAGTGTTCACTTCATCATCCAATAAGTAATCTAGTTTCCACTCCTAAAGTGGAAATTCACTTAAAACAATATGTTATACAATGTCATAAATAAAAATGTTTGAAGTGTATTTGCATTTTGAGAAAGAAAATTGGATTTCTTATTGCATTATGAAGTAAAAACTCTTAAAACATCATGTGAAAGTGGTCTAGTAAGAGTTGTTGAAACGAGAATACTTAGGTGGATAAGTGGCTTTACACTAAAAGAGAAACTGTGAAAAAATTATACTCGTGAAAGGGTTGTTGTAGATACAGTAACAACCAAGATTAAAGAAAAATATGGAGACATTTCGTCAATAATCGGTCTTCGACAGCCCTAACAACCTTAACATGTGTTCACATTTTGACTTCAAAGCTATCTAAAACATTCACACTTTATAAAATGTGTTGATTATGGTCTGGTTTCATCATATTTTGTTACGAATCAGTCATTAGATATACTGAAATAATTAAATACAATGTATTCAACTGAATGCATTTTATAATATATTTATTATTCTCATGCTTGAACGTACACATGGATATTCGTACATCGAGATCGTGAATGTACAACAAACTTTATCTGGATAGAAAAGGGATCACCCAAGAGTTCTTGAGTGGTGTCAAGGAATTTATCGTA